CGTTAGGATCTACTCCTTACTCCACAACACTAGCCTTACTAACCACTGCACCACTCGGGCGATCAACGTAGAAATAAAATTAATATTGTTAATTGATAAAATGTCGAATTGAAGACCATGGCAAGAAACCTTTTAATGTAGACTTTTCTGAATAAATTCAGCTTCTTGCAAAACAGTTCTGCTTACAATTGGGCAAAATTAGTACCAATGGGATTCCAACAAACTGTCGGAAGACCTGCAAGCATGTTTACAAAACATTCCTAAGAATTGTCTTAAGAAATGTCCTATAATAAGAATACTCTTTTAAGTATGATTCTAAGACAAACTGAAGCATGTTAAAGAAAGCTGACTCAGGATGCAGGTCTTTCCTGTACTAGTCCTCTCAATAAGTTTGAAGTGGTCGTACACAAATCTAAAAACGGACATCAAGGATTTAAAATTTCTATTAAACTGAATAAAACCCTAAAATACCATGAACTGTGTATTTAGATAACATTAAGGTAGGATTCTTCTCTGGTTTCTGACTAGATGAAACATTCAAAGTATATTTGCTTATATGTCTTATATATTGAGGTGTAAGGAATTTAAAAGACCATATTTTTCTTTCCTCATCACAATTGTACAACTTTAAATAGAAAATGGTAAATTGCATTTGAAAACTAGCAGGGACTATATTTTTGGCGGAATGGTGGTGTATGAAAATATCTTCTTTTCTGCCTCTCAAAATTATAATAGAACAATGAATTTAGTAATAATTTTTACACAATCGAAGACTTGGAGAAATTTTTAAATGTAAGTTAAATTAATAATGAGGGACTAAACTTTCAAAATCTATCAAATAAATATGATTTTTTAAACAAACTAGAACTTTATAAAAATTCTATCAAAGTGCAGATTTGAGCCAAAAATCCATAAAAAGTATTTTTTCTCTCTTAGTAAACGATCAAAACTTTTTGTTTTTGTATCATTTTGTACATTTATAAGACTACTTTATTTTATGTGAAAATAAGAAAAAGTTAAATATAGGAAGCATATGAAAATAACTAATATATCCTAAAATATTAAGAAAAACAGAGAAAATTCGAATTAGCCAATATCCAGTTAAGTTAAATTATTTATGTAAATTTGGTAATATCATGCTATAGACCCGATATAGTCAAATGTTTTTATGCAAAAAGAACAATCATTAAACTTTTGAAATAGAAGTAGGTATCACATGATTGGCAACAGTTATTTTTTATTCTTAATGTCAAGGAAAAAGATAATGACCTTGACCTGACCTTGCCTCTGATATAAAACGGTCAAATTTAATTTCACTGACACTATCACTTACTGATATTGTCTTCTTGATTCTGTGAAAATTTCATTAATTTTTAAATATCAGAAATATGAGAAGAATCCTACATTATTTACCTAATTGATCTCCTTTTTTGATGGGTATACTACGAGAAAATAAATGAAAACGAGAATGATGAGTCAACATGGTAGGATTAATTTAACCTCACAGATTACTAAGATTTTGTCAATGAGTAACTCAATTATTTTTAATGAACATTTCGGAGAGCTACTTTATGCAGAATCACAATTTTATAGATGGCCAATGAGCCAGAATGAATTTCCATATTTCATTTTCATTGAAGATAGAATTCTCTAGCTATCAAAAGGCATGCTCTTCTATTTGTTGTTGGGGTGGTTAAACAAGGTGTTGGAAGTCAAACGTTTTGATGCTCTGTTTTGGGTCAAAATTTGAGATTTAACATTTTCTAAACCTTTTTTTTCCTTCCAGTGCTATTAGTTTTTCTAGAGGATTTAAGATGCTATTTTGTTCTTGTATTTCTATTATATTTTTTAAAGAAATTCTTAAGACTCAATAAATGCCAGAAAGAGTTGGTCAATACACTCTTAACTATGATTTTGCATTTTTTGAGTAAATAAAGAGCGAATCATTGAGAACCAAAAACTAACCATTGAGCAAAAAATAAGTATGAAAAAGTGAGATTATTTTGAAGCCGCTTAATTCAAAATTGCGCAATATCAGAATTAGAGGCCACAGTGATTGAAGAATTGACCTAATTTAACGACAATTATACTGAAATAATGTAGCTAAATATAAGTCAATTTGAAAGGACATTAAGTCCTCCTCATAAAGGCTTTATATTCTACCTAATTTAGCTGTTAATCAGGTGATTACATGTATGTGAAAAAATTGGCACCCTTTAAGACTTAAAAAATGAAAACAGTTTCAATTCACTAACTACTTAATCATTTTCTTCTGCAATTTCAAAACACGAGCAAATATTCATAATAAGAAAAAAAGCTCTCCTGACCCGCTACCAAAGATGAAAAGCAGGACCTCTTTGCGTGACAAATCTGTATAAAACGTTCTATATGCATACGGCTCGATACAAGTATCATATATCATTTGCATAAGAGTGAAACTATCTAAGCTGTTCAATATAAATGAACAAAACTAAAAAAAAAAAACCATTGCATTTTACTATTACATCCGTAAAAATGATTTTTCTTCTTAATATTTACATCATTTTCTTTCTAACTACATAGTATAAGACATGTATGTACCTTTTGCTGAAAATTCTTAAGTTTTTTCTTAATAAAAAGAAGGAATTCTTTGTATATTTTTGAAGTAAATCACTATATGTATCCTGCAAGGCCTTATATCTTGAATGTGAAAGGTATTTATATAAAAGAATCGTAAAAGAAAGGAGTGTTATTGCTCAAGAAGAACATCACCCCTCCACTACTTAAAAACAAATTAATTGACGCATTACAACTTTGTTGTCTTATAAGTGTACACATATCATAGGTGGTCTGATTGTTTGACCGATAGATAAACTAGATATATATTGAAAGGTTTGAATAATATTTAAACAATTTGTAGCCGAATTCCTCCCCCAACTCTTTCTTGTAGTGTTCCTATTATTGTTTTACTGTCCTTGTCATTGTGATTGGTTTGGTGGCTTGACACATCATGGAGGTCTCCAAGTTCTTCAGATAGAGATATATCTTCGTTTTGTCATATTTCTCTCTGGTTGTACGGGAAGAATCAATCGATAGCTGGCTGAGGGAATACTCACAATATGGGTACTTAAAATTCTTATCTTCCGGTAACAGGGTTGTTACATTGCATAAAGTTCTGCATAGGGGTTGGTTCTTTTATCTCTAGTTGATTATTTCGACCTTTTTGAGATTATCAAACAGCGATCTTTATCTTTTTGTCTGCTGGTTTTGTCGTCAGATTCATCTTCTTCGCCTGTCAAATCTTTTGTCCTGTACATCAGTGTCATTATAACGCTTCGAAGGTTGTCAGTTTTAGACGGCCGTTCTGGAAGTGTTTCTCGACTTGGTGGGACATATTTTATCCAAAGCCCCAAAAATAATACAACGTGCTAGCAGGGACATATGATTATTTTTACTACGGATTATTTGCGGACTTATTTCTTATTATGTTCAATGCTAGGTGATTACGACTACTTAATGTTCATAGGGTCAACAGGTAGGCAGCGCTTTCTTCTTTTCATTTTGAAATATTATCGAGTTTACAAAATATTGACAAATTCAAAAATTGATCAAAATGTTTTTAAGTGAATGACAAATTTTCAAAACATTTCTAAACAAGTTTTCTTGAATAGCAATTTGCATGTAAACGTTAGTTTTGTAACTCATTTGAATCACTAGAATCGAATAATCTTTCAAAAGGAATTTATGAAATGGGACCTCAAGTAAATCATGTCGACTGCGGCCTCAGATAAATAGTACTGACACCTCGGGTAAATCATGTCGACTGCGGCCTCAGTTCTGGATAAATTTCTTGGCCGGAAGCCACCTCCTCCGCCCCCGCCAGATCCACCACCTCCACCACCACCCGATCCACAAGACCCAAACCAACCAAAGTATGGAGAAACGAAGAGTTTCGTTTTGTTATTTTTCTTCTTAGTTTTTTAGATTCTTTACTAACTGTCTGTTTACGGTTTCATTCTTTGAAGGTGTGGAATTCTTTTTAACATTGATATATATTTAAACATTTTTTTAATCTACAAGTACTTGAAGTAGTCTTCTTTTGTTTTTTATTTGCTTACAACTATAATGATTTAAAAGAAACAACAAGATAAAGTGTGTTTTTCTGTGAAAGGCCCAAGATTTTCCGTATGTTTTAAATTGTAGATCGAAATGTAACATACATAATTAGAAGTCAAAAAAGGATAAGGCCAAATTCTAAACACATTAAATATAATTGTGAAGCATATTAGTTTCACGTTTACTTTATGTTGATATATAATGTTTCTAGTTTTAGGAATTCATCATAAAGACGCCCTATGACGTCATATAGCATTTAGAATATATGAGTTTATTAGTTTAGAAAATTCGACGCGATCTCTGCAAGAGTGGGGTTTTCTTGTGGATAAGCAAGATGATATTCTTAACATAATGACATTTAATGGCCCTGTCTTCAGTGTAAAGCTGTCGGAGGGAATAAGAATTTAGAGCTTTCACATATCTTCTGCACTTAAATTTGGTAGAAACACAAAGCAGGTATTTTCGCTGTTTGTATAAAAGCAGTGTACTATTGTATAACAGACTAATACGTCAAGATTTAATTTGCTTTCAATGCTTGCAGATGCCTACAGCTTTTCAATTAGATACAGTTGTTTTCTTCAGAAGCACAATAGCTTTTCAAGTAAAAAAACGTTGGCTTGCATATTCCAGTTTTCTTTAAAATGAATTTAATTTCGAGTGATCAAATATTTGTCTAGCTCACGTAATTTCAAATTAAAGCTTAATGTAAAATGAATATAATCAAATTACTGTAAAGCCATTATCTCTTTTACATAAGCAAACTCTTCAAATAATTTAAAGAAATAATGAAAGTTAAATTGTTTTGTTATCGATCTCATTAATGAAACACCATGTGATAAGATATTTGTTGATAAATTTTAACAACACTTAATAGGGAAAATTAAACAATTATCTTATTTTTTTAGGCTGGATCATGTTTTGGGTACAGTTCAAGCACAAGTGGGACTACGTACAATTTACGACGATGATTTCATTGACAGACTCAACCATTACTATACGGTTATACTGTTGATAATATTTACAGTCGTAGTGAGTACCAACCAGTATGTGGGAGACCCCATAGAATGTTGGTGTCCAACAGAGTTCACGGAAAATCGCGTGGACTACACAAACTTCGTCTGCTGGGTCAGTAATACGTATTATATTCCCATGCAGAATCAGATTCCGGTGAATGTTGACCACCGCCGACAGAAGGAACTGACGTACTATCAGTGGGTCCCCATCATCCTTCTGATCCTCGCTCTGCTGTTTAAGATTCCCCGGATGGTGTGGAAAGTCCTCTCGGCCTCCAGCGGTATCAGCATGGATAAGCTCGGAAACCTGGCCAAGGAAACACAATACGTGTCTCCGGAGGACAGGGAGAAAAAGTTAAACCATATCGTAAAGTACATCGACCAATGGCTTAGTGGTATACAACCTTTTCGAGCAGGAATGTGCGTTCGAATGCGAGAACGCGCAAGTAAAATTGCTTGCTGCTTCTGTGGCCGTCATTATGGAAATTATCTGGTCTCATGCGTTCTACTGATAAAAGTACTGTATTTGGTAAACGCTATCTCACAGTTGTATATGCTCAACGCTTTTCTTGGTACAGACTACAGTGTTTATGGAATCGAGGTTCTGACGTCACTGTACAACGGAGAAGACTGGACTTATTCTCCAAGATTTCCTCGCGTGACTTTATGTGACTTTGAAATCCGCCAAATGACAAACTTACAACGATGGACAGTTCAATGCGTTCTGCCTATCAACCTTTTCAATGAGAAAATCTTTATCTTCCTTTGGTTTTGGCACGTCTTTCTAGCCTTCCTCAGTGCTTTTAGCTTAGTAGTAAGTGCTTATGCGTTCATGTTTCCGCAGCATCGAAAATCATACATCCGGAAGTACCTTCTTCTCAACAAACTGTACAAAACAGGCAAAGTCGGAACCGAAAGAAGTAAGAAAATCGCTCGTCGATTCGTGGATAATTATTTACGCCAAGATGGTTGTTACGTGCTACGTGTGTTCAGTAATAATGCTAATGACGTCATTACTTCTGAAATCATCAAATACCTATATTTGAATTACATTAGAGAAAAAGAGCATAAAGAAGTGGACAGCAATGGCTTGTTAGAAGAAAACCAAAAGTAGATTTCAGGTTGAAGATTGATTTAATGTTGAGGGAGGTCCAAATATAGACATGTTGAATCTTGAAACATGCGTGTTGCCAAAAACTTTTCTCATTACCAAAGACGAATACTTCATAGAAAGCACTTCCACTTTATCGATCGCTCGTTGTCCAAGCTTGGCTCTTGGCGCTTGTGTCCGCACTGAGCAAAAGAAGTGCACAGGGAGAAAGCAAGCGATGCAAATCAACGTCTTTCAGCGTTTTGATAACCAATGATACTGAAAATTTAATGAACATCACTACCTAACACAGAGGTGTTTAATAAGAATGATCTCTCCGACCCTATATAATGTGTGTTTTGTGTTTCTCTTGTTTGTTGTTTGTAACTCGTTAAACAATTTTCGTTTGCTTTGTGTTTTGTTTTTGTCAGGTCATTCCAAAATTAACGGCACCCCTAACATTCTGTATCTGTGATATACATTTTGTAGATAAAACTAGAGAGCATAGATCCATTCTTCAAGCACTATCTGTAATGTTTTAATCACACTACTTTTACAAAATCACATTAATTCTGTCAGGTCATGGTACACAATTTTTAGAATGCCTGAATATCAGTATTTTGTTGTTTTTTTTCATAGACATAAGAAATGTATTTCTATTTTTGACCGTATTAATTAATTACTCACAGCCTCATTGTAACATTTTAAGGTGGGTGCACCCCACTTCTTAATATTCTGTAAGCTGTGTTCGGTCATCCAGAAAGTCTTTTGTTCTTATGACGGTGATCCGTTCCTTGGCAGAGATTAGAGATTGGTCACAAAATCTGGTTAACCAGGCACTGATCACGATAACTTTGGCACTCGGCTGTGTCTAAGGTGGCATTAATGTGTCCCTAATGTGTTTTGTCTACCATTTTTTAATTTGTATTTTAAGATTTTGTTAAGATAATTGGTTAGAAGATGAATTACATGAATTACCAAAGTGATATGTGGTAGTATTGTACATTGTTTTATTAACTATTGACGGTTTTGATCAGGAAAATGTTATTGAAAGATCTTTTTCAGACCTTTGATTATATTATTTGGAACTGTTTTATTGTTCTATTATATAATGTATTTTTATTTCAATTCTATGTAAATGTTTTTGTGACTGTTTAATTAATATCAACTTCACATGCCAAAATCTTTGAAATGATTTCTAGCTCAAGAAAAGCAAACCAAAAACTTTTTTTTAAAATGCCTTAAATAATTTGAACATACGGTTGTTGTAATTTGGCATAAAAAATCTAATTTTTGCAGCATGTAATACTTCCTTTGATTAGCACAGATTATTACTTACGCAACCTATCATTTCCATTGTTCTAATATATCGTGTTTGTCTTTAACGAATACAAGCAACATGGCTGTGTTTTCAATCTCAAACGAAAAAATGTTGGTGAAGTTGTGCTATTTTTATACAAAAAGAGAGAATATTAAACTTTTTAAAAATCAAAAGTCTTTCTTGAATATGTTTAAGTAAAAAAGAAATGACAACCCAAAAGAAAAAGAGATATAGGTATTTTCTCTACAGATGTGTAGTTGATCTTTTTGAAAATGGACTGGAATAGTGACAAAATATTGTTTTCGTGGTGGTCTACATGGGACTTGCTGTGCGATTGGAGATTGGTGCCAGTTTGAAAAGATGAAGGGAACCACACCAACTGATATAAATAGCCAGATATTAGCATATTTACTCCACACTTAAAATAGAATTTCATATTTTAACATACAACAACTCATAGTTAGAATCTGCTTGAAAATTACTTTTGAAAACAAAATATAAACAAAATTTGTTTGAAAATGAAAAGGGATCTCAATAAAAAGTATGCCAGTTTTAGCTTGGCGTGGGGTAACTTTTTCAATAGGACCGAAACATTATACGAAAGACCTAATGAAGCGACTAGAAATAAATTAAATGCCATCTCATTATTACGACATATCTGTGTACTTGCCATAATTAAAAAGATAAGACAATTTAACCTCCTACCCGGGATAAAGAGCACCTGTCAGTCACCATGTCCTGCTGTCAGTCGATGTACAGACCCTGTGTCATTGTATTCAACAGCTGTTAAAACCGAAGCCAGAAATGAATATTTATTCGACATGGAGCTCAAAGTGCAAATGCAAACAAAGTATACATACATGTATATCTTTTACACGCTTTTTCACACAGCATTTGAAGACCGCCTGCAAAAAGTTCTTTGTTTCCCTCTACCGACAGACTGGCCAGACTCAACAATATTCAATCTCAGAAAACAGTACATATTTTAAAATGCTATTACGATAGGAGACGCTCACTCTTCCATGGGACCTGATCCCACCTCTGATGGTTTTAAAAATCCACGTTTGTTCTGCTCCGAATTTGTATTATTTAATTGAACTTTTGAGATTGAATCTGTTCGTTATCTCCACGTATACATTTATTCAATGTTCCTTTTCTTCAATCAAAAAAATTAAAGCCATTTAAAATAAACACACACACGGTATTCTTGAATGCTTAAGTTAAACTCAAATTGAAACTAGATTCTAAGTCAACACTAAGTATTTATTTGGTAACAATAATAACTCAGATTTTCTGCCCTTAAACGCACAAAAGGTGAAGAACTTTTAAACTGACATAGAGATTTGTACCATTTATGTCGGTATGTCCCGTTTTTTTTATTGTTTACTTTTTATAATTGACAAATTAATGTCAATGAATTAAAAAATCCATCTACTCAATATGTTGAGATTTTAAGAGAAAGAACCGAATTTCGGGGGAAAAGATTGTCTATTGAAGAAAATTTTATGTTTTCTTCACATACACAGGGACAGAAATCTAAATAATCTAAATCTAGATTACAAATTAATCAATTACATGTACGTTTATCAATAAATTTCTTCGAATTCTCTCAGTAACTGCGTTCATGTTTCAAAGTAACTATTTTCAAAGCCAAGATTATATAGATTTTCATCTACGTGTACATTCTATTTACCTAAAAATAGTGAAATGAATTTTTTTCCCACAAAACTACGCCTACCTGGAGGAAATGTTGAAAAGCTTCAACTACAAAAATTGTGCAGCTTTTGAAAAGAGAGAAAAGTGTATTCATATAAAAGTAACAAAAGTAAAAATTCTTATTGTGAAGATCTAGTATAGACAGACATTTATTGGTGTATAAGATTATCCCAGATGTTTTGTATTGGCCTGTACATTAAATAAACATTGTGTTATTAGAAAGCCTCAGTGCACTGTTAATTCGCTGTACTGCAAAGGTGCAACAAATGCTCACTCCTTCGACTGTCAGTTTTCATGGCTTACCCGATGTCGACACGTTTGATCTGTCCTGACACCTTCCGCATACAAATAAAAGAATTTCTAAATTTTGCATCACTTTTATAAAATTCGAGAAGAGAAAACTTTTATTTTAATCTAAAGCAATGTAGCAAACTTCAAAAAACATTGAAAAAAAAACCCCACTAAATATGAAAGAATAAGCCAAGTAGGACACAAAAGTGCCTAACTTTATAGCCTGTGAAAGAAAATTTACATTTAACCTCAATATAATATTTTCATTTTCATTAAATGTGAAATTACAGTAGTAATACTTAAAAGTCGGATTGATGAATTTTAGATTGAGTTAAACTAACACGAATTCCTGAAAACACCAGTAACTGGATCAGATGCCATGAAAAAGTAATTTCAATTGTCGATCACTCTAACTCGCCGTGTGTCCCTTGTCTTTGTCTGGTAAAACAAAAAGTTCCCATGATGGTATAAATGTGTAAAAAGTACACCAGTCGACATCCATTTAAACTCATAAAAGGTACTACCGATATTGATGAATGAAGGATATGGAGATAACGAGCAGTATTCATGAAACAATACAAAATAGCAACAGAGCAAACACGGACCTCCAAAACATCAAAGGTGCATGGATCAGGTGCCATGGAGGAGTGAGCATCCCCTGCCGACCTGCCGACCGGACACACCCGCCGTGTGCTCCTTGTCATGATCGGGAAATAAGGGAAATATCCGTTTTCAATTCTGTGTATATATAATGGACAAACAATTAATGTGAAAAACGTCAGTCAGCATTTGACTCAACGATAAAAGACTTGATGGTAACCTGATAACAAAACTTCATTAAACAAAAATATCAAAAGTCTCGTCGAAAGTCAACATTTTTCAAATTTTAAGATGTTACATTGATGGATCTTTTGTTTGCCTGATCATGACAATAAACACAATGGATGTGAGGGTCGACAAAGGACGTTTTTTCTCCATGGCACTCGATCCTATTTCTGATTTCCTTTGAGGAAAGCTCTGTATTTTCTCTGCACTGAGTTTGTAGTTTTTTAATGGACTTGATTTTTGCTTTTTAACTTCATATTTTATTATGATTGGAAGGTTGTATTTCCGTCGGAAACCTTAAAAACCGAACCACCTTGTAGGCATAGCTCAATAAAGACCCTTACTACTCAAAGGCCCCGAGTGCCGAGAAAAGGCTTAAATCTGAAGCCCTTCACCATTATAAAGTGAACTCTCAATATGAGTGAAATATTCTATAATGGAAGGTAATAAGACAACAACCAATCAATCATATTTTATGCTAAGGTGGGGCCTTTTAAATGTTTTTCAATAACTTGTAATTTAGGAATCTTCTCATAAAGTACGAGAAAAGCAACAACGTAATTATTAGAGGATCCTACAATCCTACTTTTGCTAGTTTTTTTCTTGTTTGAGAGAACCATCGTTAAAAAAGAACTTTTTATATATCAACGTCTAGACTTGATATCGATGAAATATTTTATTCCAGTAAGTTTGGATATGCCAACTTAAGCCTTTATTAAGGCTTTCTCAAAATATAGAAACACGAAGATTAACTTTTGTACCGTCTCAGAGAGAGAGAGAGAGAGAGAAAGAGAAAGAGCATCTTTTTGATGACTGAATAAAGAACAGACATAGCAATGGAAGATTGATTTAAAAACAATTTTTTCCTAATGAATCTCAGAAAATTACAAACTATTCAAAATTACTGTAGCTTGAAATATATAGATACTTTTCAAAATGTATTAATTTTCCATTCATAGAATATGCACAGATGTCAAGATTTGTAGATCAGAGCTATGTTTAAAAAAATTCCTTGTCTTAATGATTTTTTTATCAAAGTTCAGATATGGTTTAAGCCCCTGAAAACTCAAGAAAAACTGGCATGTCAGTGATTTTTATGAACAACATAAAGATTCATGATTCCTTGGATATCTCTTATTCTGACATAAATATCATGTTCTGTTTGATCATCTTAGAATTGGTTTCAAAATCAGCGACTTGCGCATCAACAGAAACGAATGAAAAGCAAAAGTAGAATTTTTGAGTTTCTTGGCATAGTGTTGTGCATTTTGCAAATTAAAGTCTATACGTGTTTATTGTTACGCTTTAAAAACAGAAAATGTACCAATTTTATCAATCAAAGTTTACTTAACAAGTTTGCAAGTTCTGCTTTATTTCCAAGAAAATTGTAGTAACAAGGGCACCGAAACGTAGATCGTAAAGAGTCGTGATATTAAATTTCATTGCAAATGTTCTAAATAAGAATGGAGAAGATAACGAAATTCTAAACTAGCGATCGATCTAATAAAAAAAATACAAACCTGTGGATAGTTCTTTAACCCAGACTCACGTGACATGAGAGATGAAGAGTCAGGTACCGTAGAGGAGTAAGGATTCCCGTTGACTGGTAACAAAGGACTTAAGTCCTATGTATTGATCATGTATGCAAAACTTTATGTAATCAAATTTAGTTTAAACCCATGGACTTATTATGCAATTAGGCAAAAATTAGTCAGCCATAAAATGACTCAAGAAGAGCTTATGTATTACAATTTATGTTATATTCATTTTATTCCTTAGCCAGCAGTATACCTTCATAACCTGCAAAAGGAGTTTACATCATTCACACACTGAAGTGTCCACATATTTTATGGGGGTGGGGGAGGGGGGCGGTTGACGGGAGATGCTCACTCCTCCATGGCACCAGATTCCATCTTTGATGTTTTACAGATCTATGTTTGATCTGTCCAAATTTTGTATTGTTAATTGCACATTTTAGCTTTATTACTGTTCCTTATTTTCTAACATCATAATCAAAACGACCATAGAAGGTTTGAAATGCTGAGTTTAAATATGGTTGTTGAAATATCTGACATCAACTTACCCGTGGGAAGCCTGCTTCTGTTTTAAAATTAATTATACCCAGAACATAATCTTGAGTATCGAAAAAAGTTGACATAAACATGGTGGAATTCTACTGCATATACTTAATAGATGAAAGTTGACGATCGAAAAGCTGAAGTTTAATTTAGCTGTTAGTCGGCTCATACTGTCTATATTCAGTAAGACATATACAAACTTGATTAATTTGTGACAGTCTTAATGGTAACAGTCTTCTACTGTGATATATACAGTGACACAT